GAGTAACACTAAAATAGTGTAAATCTATAATTATTTTTTCATGAAAAAAAAGTACGGGGAGTTGAAATAAGAATTACACCTTGGTTATGCATGTCATTGCTAAATTTTGCAAGCACAAGAGGGAAGGAAATGAAAACATTCTACACACATATTTCTGTACATGAATAAATGAATGAATGAAAGGTTCAGTGAATCCTTTCCCGGGCCCTAGGCAAATTCCAAAGTTCAGCAACAGATTGATATTGGAATTCACTGTTCTTTCAGGTACCCGTACTAACAACTATGTCTACCACGCATAGTTGAATTATTATTCGTAATTAAAAATTAAATAAATAATTTTAAAAGTGTATCATATAGACTTAATACATTTAAAACTATATATATATATAGAGTTAACAGCGAGAATAAACTTTCTTAATCATCTATAAATAGCTTATTCATTTAGTTAATTATTTAGGAAATAGCTAGCCAGAAATTATTCAGCATCTAGTTTAATCCATGCATTACATACGTAGAATTATTATAGATAATTATTTGGAGTATCTGTTTAGCTGACTAGGAAAGATCAAGGTGAGATGAGATATGGGAAAATGTTATATTAATTAAGGTGTGTGTCCAGGAACTGGATGTTTAAGATGTACAATAATATCAGATAAATAAAAGATGCACAATAATAAAATGAAAGTACGTAGTGGTCTTTTACCACACTAACATGGTTTGGCAAAAGATTTTAGAATATAGTACAAGATTGAAAAGTATGGGAGAAATAGCATATTCTCAATCAACCACTAATAAAAATTGCAATTTTATTAAAAATATTTTAACAATAATATCAATAAAAACATATCTAATTGCATCAAGTAAAACCTAAATGATCTCAATTGAACAATTTTCTCAATAACAACAATTTTTTTTCAAAATTCAACGCAAACTTTAGTTGCAATGATTTCAATCATAATTTTATTAATATTAAAAAATTATCTAATTGTATCAATTAAAACAAAAGTTATCTCAATTCAAACAATATTATTAAATACAACAAGTAACCTAATAATCAATTTAAACCTTAATATCTCTAATTCAAACCTAATTGATGCCATAAATAATATCAATTTTATTAAAAATACATAATTGCAACACTTAAAATCCAAATTAAGTAACTTAGCATCATAAAATACCTTATTATCAAACACAACACAAATAAATATTAATCAAAACTTAAAATTTATCAATTTGATTATGCAATCCTTAAAACTAAAACTAAAAGACAATATAACTGTTTTACCTTGATTATTATTATTATTATTTTTCATGGTTGGGTTGCGGTTCCACTATTTGTTGCGGCAAAGAGGCTGTCAACACAAGTTTAGGCTAAGGGCTTACAACCAAAAACAACAGAAAGACTGGTGGAGACCAGGGAAAAATAATTATGATGTTTTAATTGGTGGAGAATTAAAGGTTATTTTGGGCTATTAAAAGTTTTTTTTATAGTGGTTTTTTGGTTTTTTTTTTCTTTTAAATAAACAGTAGCCGTGTAAAATAGAGGGGTGATTATATACTCATTATAATTCTGATTCAGGATTATAATTGTAATATGTAACCATTATTTTAAATTGTGGTTTATATACACAATTTAGAATAATGATTAGATTCACAATCATAATTCTGAATAGTAATTATATTAAACTATGTAATTTTTTAAATGTTTTTTCAAAGGATGTGATTCTCCTAAAATTTATGCTAGCTGTGTCATTATTCAAGAAGAATTCTGAAAGTAGTGGAGGAGGAATTTCTGATGTAACTTCTTAGCCTTGATTTCTTTATATATTCCCATCGCCAATATATTTATTGGTCAAAATCCCAGTATATTTGGAAGATTTCATTTCCCTTAGAAAATTTTTTGCAACCACACAAGAAAATGGTATTATAATGTTGCTCGTATATTAATTATTGTCAAAGTAGCTAGCTAGTTAGCTAGTTAGGGAGTTTATAGGGGGACATGGTCCGTGGATGCTGAGGCTGTAGAGGTGGGAGTGAACTGAGGACTTGCACGACAAGTAATAGGGACGTGCAGCATCAGCATCACCAGCAGTTGAAGCAGTTTGAGGCAGACGAATGAGCGTATTTATTTGGTTTTCTTCATCTTTGCTAAGTACCAACAATGTTCTCTTCTTTCTTTTGTTTCTCATAAATTACTTCAAGTTGGAAGCCATGCCCTTTGCTGCCGACCCAGCACACACTGTTTGTTTCTTTGTCAGTTTGCCTTTTCTTCACACCAAGTTCAGCATAAGCTGCATTTTTTAAATTTTTTTAATCTTTCCCTTTTTTATTTTGTCATGTATCTTTTTCACCTGCTTTGAACCCTTTTCCTGATGCTTTTTAAGCTTCAGCTAATTAAGGCAGCTCACAGGCTGGATTCTAGCATTGATAGACCACTATGCTTGGCTCCTGGTCACAGTTGCAGACACAGTCACAGCTGATGAGTTCATCAAATTCCCATGATCGACATCAAGAAGAAGAGACTCCAGGGCCACCAACAGCATTTCATATGCGTCAATTGCTAGTCAGTTGTGCAGACCTCATCTCTCAATCTGACTACTCCGCCGCTAAACGGTTCTTCTCCATTTTGTCTTCCAACTCTTCTCCTTATGGTGACTCCACCGAGAGGTTGGTTCATCAGTTTATTCGAGCCCTTTCTCTCCGCCTCAAGGGCCATGGAATCTCTACAAGTATTGCTCCTGCTGCTCATGTTTTCAATATCAACAACATGGTTACTTCTCGTCCTTGTGGGACTAATGATAAGATGTTGATCAGCTATGAGTCGGATCAGGAGACTCTTCGGTCTTGCTATTTGTCTTTGAATAAGATCACCCCATTCATAAGATTCTGCCATCTAACAGCAAATCAGGCTATTTTGGAAGCAATACAAGTAGGACAGCAAGTCATTCACATCATAGACTTTGATATCATGCATGGGGTGCAATGGCCTCCATTGATGCAAGCTTTGGCTGAGCGATCTAACAACAGTCTTCATCCTCCTCCTATGCTTCGAATCACTGGAACTGGCCATGATTTGAACGTCCTCCACAGGACAGGAGACCGCCTTTTGAAATTTGCTCAGTCTCTGGGCCTCAGATTCCACTTCCATCCTCTTCTACTACTAAACAATGACCCTACCTCACTTGCCCACTGTCTCCCCTCAGCAATTACTCTTCTCCCAGATGAAGCTCTGGCCGTGAACTGCGTTTCGTATCTTCACAGGTTCCTTAAGGATGATTCTCGTGAACTGCTCCTTTTTCTCCATAAAATCAAGGCCTTGAACCCTAAGGTGGGGACCGTTGCTGAAAGGGAAGCCAACCACAACCACCCTCTCTTCTTGCAGAGATTCCTGGAGGCCCTAGATCACTACACAGCTCTCTTTGACTCACTAGAGGCAACCCTGCCACCAAACAGCAGGGAGAGACTGGCAGTTGAGCAGATATGGTTCGGGAGAGAGATAATGGACATAGTAGCAGAAGAGGGAGAAGGAAGAAGAGAAAGGCATCAGAAATTTGAGACTTGGGAAATGATGCTGAAGAGTGTAGGGTTTATCAAAGTTCCATTGAGTCCCTTTGCACGTTCGCAGGCCGAGCTCTTGCTAAGGCTCAATTATCCTTCTGATGGCTATCAGCTTCGGATTCTCAACAATTCTTTCTTCTTAGGCTGGCAGAATCATTCCCTCTTCTCTGTTTCTTCCTGGAATTAGTTAGCTCCCTCAATTACTTGCCTTTTTTCTATTTAATCATTAATGTCTCCTCATATACATCATCAAATGCTCTCCTACATTCATATAGCACTAATTATTTGTCTTATATTTAGATTAGGAATAACTTTTTTCTTTGTTAATTACGTTAGACCAATTAATGTTTTGTATTGAGCATCATAGCATAAATATTATAATGAGGATGGCGAAGGTTTCCACTGACAAGATCTGTCGAGTTAAAGAATATTGCAGCATCTTCTCTTTTTCTTAGATAACTAATTAAAAGTGTTCTTGTTTGTCTGTTAATTACTTAACTATTATTTCATAAAAAAAAACCTTATTAAATATGAGTGCAATATTTGGGTGCTGCTTACCTTTCTGTCTTTAATGATAATAATGCTAGCTTCACTTGATTGATATATAATTTTAAATGCACATATATTCGTGTGTATTTATGTATAAGATACCGATCAAATCTTCCTTATGGAAAGGATAAGTTCAGCTATGCTAAGTGCATGATGAGATGGTGAGACTGTGAATTTATAGATCATTTTTGAAACCCGATTCTTTTAGTTGATTGAAGTTTTGATATAGAAATGAATTAAGAATGAAATGATTTTGAATGTGAAACAACCATCTCGAAAGCTTTTTAAATTTAAAATTTATATAAACTTATATTAATTTATATTTAATTTTTAAATATTACAAAGGTGATAAATTTAAACTCATTACATCTGCAAAGCTTTGAAATTATATTAAATAACTATTTTAATTTAAAAATTTAAATTATTTAATGAAACCTGATATATAATTTACATTATTCTTTATTATTAAATGTCAATTTCAAAACAAAAACTTTATGTTAAAACTGAAGCACCCTCGGGGATTTTTATGATAGGAATCAGATGTTTATTTGGCAGCCTAATTATTTTTTTTTTTTCAAACAAACCATGAGAAGAGAATTGAAGGGGAGAGCTCACAATTGCTCAGCAAAAGTCCTTTATCTTGGTTGAATAGTTATATATAAAGCTAGGTGAGATTTAAACTTTCAAGGTGGATGGGATGCATGGGCTAAGGTTTCCTTCTGGTTTTCCGCGCTAAGTACCCTTATATTCCTATTGCTGTCTTTCAGATATGCACCATTAATCAAGTGCCCTAATATTTGCCCTTTGTCTCCTCAGCAACAAAATCATCGAAGCTCCCAACATAGGCCTTCTTCTTGCCCTTACCTTGCCTCCTCTTGCACCATGCATGCGGCCATGAAAACCCTCCTGCTGCTAGCTATTTAAGCTAGCTAGGGATCAGTCTCGTGCCCTGTACGAGGTTATTTAGTTTGTCAAGGACAACTACTAATTACCCATTATGATTAATTATTTATAGATCCAGATGATGCGGCTGGCCTTCTGATCAATATCTATACTTGATATATAATTAATGCCCTTTTCGTTTCTCAAATTAATAAATCAATGAAGTATTCAACGGAATAATTATGTAGCCATCGATCAAGATCTCAAGTACTGTACCATACAAATACACATATACCTGGTTTTTATAGAGTTTTGATATATATATATATATATATATATTGGATGATTTGATTCGATATATCAATATTGAAGCTTTCCAATGCCATGCGTGCACCAGCCCTAGCTAGTTATAGTCATAACTTGAACACGCAAACTAAAAGTGGAACCAGTGAGCAATCAGTGTCAGCTATCAAAGTGGAAGCAGCTGCTAAAAGGTTTTCGAGGCATCTTTCTACCTCCTCCTGCATTAATTAGCAGAAACTAGCCTTCTGGTCAAAACACATAGCTGCAAGTATTATACATCCTCTCACAAGTGGATTGTAATAGTCAAGCTTTGACACAATTTAGCCTCCAAATTAACATCCAAACTAGCATCCAATTGAATATTTTCTTGGAAGGAAAGATCTGATTGAAAGTCATAAGATTAAAGTGAAAATAACATTTAAAATAAATAATGGCTTTGAATTTTATATAAAAACATTAATTTTGATCCCCTTCCTTTAGTTGTCAAAAAACATTTGGTTTTACAGTTGTTTTTTTGATAAAAATATTGGTAAGTAATTATCTTTATTTTTTTATAAATTTATTTTAATTTTATGATTTGTATCATGAGTTTTATATGTTATTTTTTAATATAATATTATTTTAATTGTTGTGTTTGTATTTGATTTTTCAAGATATTGTTCTAATTCAATTATAATTATTTTTATATTTATACAAATAAAGTTTCTTTTTTTCAAAATAAAAAAATATTCATTTTAAAAATAATATTTATTATTTATTCGGCCTTGCATAATTTCTATAAGATGTAAGTTTATTAAATTATTTTTATTAGTATTTATCTTTTAAATTATGAGTTTTTTAGGATGTAGATTTATTTTTTATTGATGTAAGTAAATAAATTTAATAAACATAATCAAATAAAAATAAATATTTTGTATTATGTAATTATATATCTTGATTTGCATTGATATATTATTTTTTTTAATTTCTCTTTTAGTTTTTGATAATAATTTTATTTATTTATTTATTTATATAAATAGTTATTTATTTACATGCTTGTATTTCAATTTACATTTTAATTTTTTTATATTAAAAAACATAATAAAACAATCTGCACACCCGATATGTTTTGATGGAAAAAAACTCACACGAATAAAATAACTATTCAATATATTATTCCTCCGCCGTATATATATGTATAGACGTAACCTTCTGCTGTTTTGCTTTTCTGTCAATCACTGCTTTCTTTTTTGTCATTTGACACATAAAAGAGTACATCTGATGAGATAAATGCTCTCTGCCCCTGCCCACATGCAAATCATTTGCTCCCACCAACATTACTTGCTTCTTCATCCTCACCCACATGATCTCCATAGAATCCTTGATCAGAACAACATGCTCCTGATTCATTAATTGCTTTTGTATGATAATTAAGGAGCTGGATATATTTAGTACTATGGTTAAGATATATTATCCATGCTAATTTAAATGAAGCTAACTCAAAAACACAAGTGATAAATCAGTTACTGGTAAGAATTATGGTCACCGGTCATTCTTACATCATCTAACTATTAGAAAGGGAGCGTTCAATGGCTGTTGATCAGGACTTGGAGACCACTTTCTGTATTCTGAAGGCACATTCCTGTTTCCCCGGAACCTTCAACAGGAAACTGATCTCCAAAGAAGAGATGCAGACAACGAAAACATCCGACCCCAGATCACACGTATATCTCAGTGCTCCTCGGTACTACCATACCAAAGTAACATGGTAGCATAGTAGTCTTCGATTAATTAGGGGGACAACGTAGAGCTGAGTAGAAAATAGGACAAAAAAGCAGGAAAGTCAA